ATAATGAAATCCAACCCATTCTTATATCCGTTGCCTTTGGTCCTGCCATCCCTTACTTCCCTGCCATCCCTGGGATGGTTGTGATGTTGGGGATGGCTGCCATCCCAAGGCGTCCTGCCATCCCTCGGATGGTTGCCCTTGGCGGGATGGCACATCACGTGACCTAGCCCCGCGATGATCATTACCTTCTGACGTGGACGTCCATAGGCCTTCAGCCATCTCGTCATTTGTCAAGGAGAGAATCCTTCTTGTTACTTGTAACACGTTGTTAGAATATAACGCGCTGTAGTATCGACGTCGACGCGTTAATAGGGAGTGATTAGCTCGCTTGTGAAATACGTTATCGAGAGAGTTTTGGTTGTCTGGAGAACCTCTTTTGTCTAGAGACTAAGAGTGTCTCTAGACTGATCGTAACACTCGTTTCTAAACCACGTTATTAAAAAGAAGTCGAAGAGCAATCTTTGAAGATATATGTTAGCCGCACGTTAGCTTGCATGGAATATGAAGTTAAGCACACTTATCTACCTTTTTAGTAGCTGAGTTTTGTTGAAATAAGGAGGGTGCTACTTGTTTTATAGCTAGCTCTGAGGTAGAGTCGTCTACTTATCTAGCGATAGACTTAGAGGTAGCGAATCGATAGGTTCTAGAGTGAAAAGAAATAATGCTAGGGGAGAGAGACTAAAGAATTAGATTAATCCAATCTGTTCTTGTTGTCTGCGCTAGTAATCTGCTTTAGTTTCTATCTACTAGCTATACTACTACTATATATATTAGCTATACTAGATTCTAGAAGAGTCCATCTAGTAGTAGATTACGTGGCTATAGACGTAATAGATAGATAAATTAGTTTAGGGATTATTTAATGAAAGAATCTAGGTGTGGTGCTAAGCACCCGGATTATGTTAGAGATAAGCTAATTAGCTTATATCTCTAACAGCTTTGACTATCTATATTCTAGCTTAGAAAAAAATCGTGGCCGGAGAACAGAACGCACCTAATAATACCGCTGCCACCGCCGCACCAGCTGAGCGAGCTCGTTTCTATGATCCTGTGCGAGACCAGACCCTCCGCTAGCCGTTGGATTGACTTTGCGTTAGTGTAGCGCAATGTTTGCATAGCGTTACTAGGTTATGTAAAGTAAATATGCGATAACTAGCGATCTCGTGGCACTGGACACAGCTGCCATGGCTGAAATTAGCCGGGGCTGTGTGCCCTATCGCTCGCTAGCCAGAGCGGGTTATTAGCTGGTTCGCTCGTTTCGAAGCACAAGTGGAAGGGTTACGTACCCACAAAGTGTGCTGTAGTCGGTAGCTGTGAGACCCTGATTGGATTACTTGCTTGAGCGCTATCTCATGCTTTTGGCGTAGATGGTGTCAGTTTGGCTCGACCGCAAACTAAAGCATCTAAGCCGCGCCGACACAATGTCAGGCGATGCTCGCTAAAACAGGCGAGCCAAAGTTCTCCGATCCGAATTGGCCTGCGTTGCTGCGGATTGACAATGCCTTTTCACCCCCGGACAACTACTTTGCTATCATGCAGCGCCTTCTTTTGCAGCTGTCTCTTGCGAACAGACGCAAATGTTCTCCTCGCAATAACTGTGCTCGCAGCGATGCTCATCGCAATTGTAGCATGGGCCGGACTTTACGTACAACAATGTGGGCTAGGCTTCGCGGAGTACTTAGGCGCTGGAGCGACTTGCAGGCCAGATGCTAGTAATTTTGTTAGACAGTAATAGCACTAATGCACGGCTCTTATTCAAGCTGGTTGTCTCTTCGATGCCTTTCCTCGCAAGCATTTTTGCTCTTCGCCTCTCCCTGCATCCAGGTTGCACGGACTTAGACAATGACTAGGATTTAGGAGATGGCTAGAACAGGGGGTCAGGATGTGCAGCTCCGCCGCTTCCATAGGTCGAAGCTTTAGTTCAGATAACTTGAACAGACAAAAACAGCTCACTTAACCGAACACGGGCATAAGGCTTTACCAGAGCTGAGCTATACTTATAGCCTGAGTCAAACCCAGTCGTCAACAACTCGCACAAGAGTTTTTCTAGCGCTCAAGGAACTTGTTTTCTAGATGCGGCTGTCTTAGTGCTAGCACGTTGTCACCGCAAATTAGGAGCCCCACTTACCCCAGGAACGGGCAATACCACTGATCAGTGCGTTTTCAATAACTAACCTTCATTTCTCTATACGAATTTTGGCTGTATGCTAGCGTCGCGATGTCATTCGTTCATTGGAAAAAGGGTATATATGACAAAACAAATAAGTCAATGGATTTAGTCCTCGAGGTACGGGTTAGCGAGAGTAATCACTACTGTAACGCTAGAGCAAGCTCTTGCGCTCCAACCGAGCCAATGCAAATCCTTCAGAATGTCATTCAGCCCTACCATGTTTCCGATCACTTCTAGGATTACTTAAAGATACCTAAGTATTTCATTATAAATCTATGTTGATGTTCTATTATCACCCTGATTTTTCGACTTCGTCTTCGTCCCTTATCCAACACTTTGTCGTAGACGCTATTAGCATTTCTGTCGCAATGCCTAGGTCTTATTGTCTTTAAAAGTTTGAGAGGCGCAGGTAAAGGACGAGATGACTTTAGCCCGTCCGCAGTCCCGTCATGAAAGGGTAGGGGTAAACGCAAACAAAGTTCAAGCCATTTAGTAAGTGTAAGGCCAGAGAACTAAGTCATGGGCTAGTGAGTCCGGTCTATAATGGCATGAACCTTTTTCCACTACTAAAGCCCACTTTTCTGTCGAATTTTCTCCACAGTTTGCTCAATCATCGCTACCATGTCGTCCTCAGACTCTGTTCTTCCTTACTTCGAACTTAGCTGGGCCATCTTAAGCACTTTCGATTTACTCCATGTTGTCGCTGCGTTATTGATTGTTCCAATAACGGGCTTCTCGACGCTGTGGGCCGTGCCCGTTGTGTGTTCTATCACATCAGCTATTGCGAATGGCTTGTGTTACATAGCATACTACTCTAACGCTTCTACAAGTGCAAAAGTGCTAGCAGCTGCTTTTGCAGACATGTTTTGGTTGGTAAATACATAGCAAATCCAGGTTAATGAGCCTGCCAGAAGCTAACAGTGTTACAGATTCAAGAAGCTGGACTATCTTTTTACAGTTACGACATCCTCCGACGATTCCTACAAGGAAAATCCAGAACCTGTTTCTTCTCACTCTTCTGGTTTCTTATCGTATCTATCGTTGCCTTCCGCAGTGCTATCCTCACCCACAGAATTCTCGACATTCTATCTAGCAGCACTACTAGACAACACCTCATAAATAAGCTTCATATCGGCTATTTTGGCTCCTTGGCTCTGATTGAAACCGTTAGCGCTTTCTTCCTTCTCCGTATCTTTATCCAAGGCAAGCGCCAAACTCGGATTCTCCCCTCAGGGAGCAACCTGTTTAAACAACTCATACTCAGCACTGAGGTCCGAGTCTCCTCGTTAGCCATCATCGGTATCGGCCGAACAATTACGTATCACTTCCACACCACGGCGCAGAGCGCTACCAATCTAGCTGGCGAATTGGATCGCTTCCTAGTAACGTGTGTAAATTACTTCCCTATAATCATGCTGTAAGTACCTGCTCCTATTGTACTTTCTATTCTTCCTCATCAGAAGCGACCGATACTGATATACGCTTAAATAGAATCGACCTCTTGGCTACCCGCATCGCCAACGCCGAAGACACCAGTAACGCCACATCAGCTCATCAAAGATCTTCTAAAGGCGATCCTGTCACAATAGAGCTTAACCGGGTGAACAACGAAGCGCGTAAGGACATAGATCGGCAAACGTTTGTGCGGATTAAGCCCATTACAGACAAGCAGAGCTCAATAGGTAGCACAACACCATGCCAGAAAGCTATTTTAAAATCAAGTACGTTCACTGTGGAGCGAGCGGAGGTAGTAGTCCATCAAGTTTAGAAGGTTATCTCCATATCCTTTCAATTATACCTACGGTAGTTGAACGTCTATGTGTAATAGATTAAATGCCCTTTAGCTAGTTTCTTAATAAACTCTTTACTCACTAGCTGTGAAATTGACAATAATTGGCCTAGTATATATTTTTAGAAGTATAGAGAGATTGCTAAATAACAGGTTATACTTCGATGATAGGCTATAATCTTAGTAGGCAATGTAGAAACACTAGTTTTATTAATAATTATAGAAACTAATCTACTTACGTGCGCTACTAGTTATCCGGCCACACTAGTCATCTAGCCACCTCACCAAACCTGACCTTCAGTTTTCTACTATCAATCCTTGATCCTGTAATGAAACCTTATAGAATTTAGACATATAATTTAATTATATAGTTCTATATTAACTTTAAATATATTATTTAACGTAATACTTCGTATACGTCGGCAAAACACGCTAACATAGCTTACTAGTCTAGCTCTGGTCAGCTTCTATAACTATTCTTTTTATCTCTCTTACTATCTACTAAGTTTATAAGACTTCTATCACTCTCCTAGAATTAAAATATCGACGTTATTAGTCTTACTTCTATTTCTTACGATTACTCTTTTTATATACGTAGCTTCTTATTCTTTTTGGAAGGATCATTATAGAAGAGTAATTAAAAAGTAACATTAGAAAGTTATATTTTTTAAACATTCATTACTAAGTAAGTAACAGCGTTAAACTAATAATATAGTGGGGTGATAAAAAAAAGAACTCTAAAAGGTTATATTTTTTGAACATCCATGGCTCAATAGGTATTAGCGCTAAAGTAATAAGAAATATACTATTAAATAGAGAGGTTTTTAGCGTTTAAAATAGGGGCTTTATATAGGTGACTAGTTAGCACTAGGAAGGCTAACGTGAAGGATTAGGAAGCTGGCCACCCCACCCTACTGTTACGATCAGCGTTAGAATGTGGAGGACATTTCGCTGTTAGATTTATTTAACGAGTAATCTATGAGACGGCGAATTCGCAGTAAGAAATAGAGATACTTATTTAGAACTAGTGCATTACGTGATCTGTAAGATGCTTAGTAATTAGTATATCTTAGTACTACTAAATAACTGAGTATGTTACATAAAGCTCTAGTATATAGTATTTGGTATTAAGCTCTTATAGCTTAATATATTTAACTTAAGTTACGAGTATAAGTATAATATAAATATTATACTTATCTAAGTTACTATCTAGCGTATATTATCTCTCTTTCTGCGAAAACTCACTAATAAGAAGCTTAATACTAGAAGTCTAATATTACTTCTACTTAAGCTATACTCTTAATACTTTAAACACCCTTATAATAAGCGACACTGTAATAGACACCCTAACCACTTTCTAAACTAGAGAAACTATAATTAACGCCTATAAGCCTAATCTTTACTATAGCGATCGTAATAAGCTTAAAGCTTAGCTCCTCTAGGTTAACTATTACTTTTACTTAGCTAGAGATAAGATTAAATACAACGATAAGGTTGTCTTAGCTACTAGTTACTACCGAGATAACGTAGAAAAATAGTCTAATTCTATTATTAAACGATATATAGATAAATCTATCGTAGATGCTGATAATACCGCCCTAGTTAAAGACTAGGAGGCTTTTAAGGCTAAAATGCGATAAATCTTCTTACCTTTTAAGAAATCTCTAATTGCGGAATAGAAAATCTAGACTCTACGCCAAACTAGGTCTACTACTAATTATACTACTTAATTTCAGCAGTATACTACGCATATTAAATAGAATAATAATACTCTTATGCGTATATATCGCTAAGGCCTAAAACTTATAGTACGTAGAGAACTTATAAGAAGTAGAGCTAATATTACTAATCTTAATAAACTTATATAAGAAGCTATTAGGCTTAATAATAAACTCTATAAGCTTATATTAGAAGAATAACTATTTAATTAAAGAACGCGAAACTAAAATAATAAGAACGACTAGCTATAATAACAGCACTACTAGCGTTTATAGCCTAACTAGAGGCGATAGAGAAGCTATTAGCTAAGAACACCTAGCGTATATATAACTAATAGGTACAAACCTATACACCTTAATAATCTAAATAAGGGAAAAGAACCTAGTAAACCCTATTATAAAAAAGATAAGGATAATAAAAAAAAGATTAATTACTATATATATAGTAATGAAGGCTATATAGTACGTAACTATTAGAGTAAGAATAAAGTTAAATAACAGCTTAACGTCCTACACTAGAAATTAAAATTAGATAACGACGAGTTATAGAACGTTATTACCTAACTAAATATTATATACTACCTAGATAATATAGAAGTTATTAGTAGATTAGATAAGCTAACTCTAACTACGTCTAAAGATACATCTAAAGCTAAACTAGTTAGTAAGAAGGAATATAAGACGTTAGAGAAGGAACAACCTCTTATGTCTAAATACGAAAAGATAGCACAATTCTAAAAAGAAAATAGACTATCTACGCTCTATAAAAAGAGGTAAGACAGTATAATATTAGAATTACCTAAGACCTAATAAGATAACCTAGTAGAAGTATAGAAGTAGATTAACGTACTATCTACGCTACTTAGCTACTTAAGTAAGACCTACGCTTATAATAATAATAGTAATAAAGTATTACTAGATATATACTAACAGCTATAGCACCTACGCTTAGATATTAACTTTTACTAAATTAAGATAATATAATACCTACCTATATATATATATATATTATAGTAAATATTAAAAGGCTAGAATAGAGACTTACGCTTTAAGAGGTAATATAAGTATAGAAGACGTAAAGATAGAATAACTCCTACGAACCTATATAGTACTAGTTCGACGTAAGAAATAAGCACTATATAAGTATATTATAGACCGCGTATACGTATAACTACTACTCTACTTACTACTTAGATAAGAGAGAAGCTAGATAGAGCCTATAGTACATTAAGAGTATACCTAAGTATAAATAGCTATAGTATAAATGTAAGAATAATAGCTATCTAGTATATTTATAGAATAAGCGTAAGAAAATATACTTTCTTAGTAGAACGGACTCTTAAAGTATTATTTAGATACAGACCACGTATAAAGTGCAGTATCTAGATAGCCTCTTATTAGAATATAGAGAAGACTAATAGTATATATACCTTAGCTATAAATGCGAAAAGTATATAGTAGTAAAAGACTACTATAGATACTAATAAGAAGAGTCTTTTTTAGGCTAATAATAGAGTAATAAGGCCCTACTAGAGAAATTAACGTACTAGAACCTCTAGAATTAATAAGGCTTATAATAGAGCTTAATGAAAAATAGATATAGGTACTAGTAGACTTAGGATTACAGGTAAACTATGTTTCAGCGTACGTAGTAGACTAAGCTAGACTTAAGAAATAATAGAAATAACAGCAATACCTACTATACGTAGCTAATAGCGAACTAATACTAAAGGAAAGTAATATTATATACGAGGTCAGATAAGTGATACTTAGTATCTAGAAGTATATAGAGAAGATTAACCTAGACGTTATTAGACTAGCTACCTATAATGTTATTTTAGAACTCTTATAGCTTAAGAAATATAATCTATAGATTAACTAGAAGTCGAAGGTATTTTAATTTAAATACTATAGAAAGGACGTAACTATAAGCTAACCTACGTATTAGTAGAGTTTATTAGTAGATAAGAGTAATATTACTAAATAATATAATAACACTAAAAAAAAGGTATACTTAAATAGTAGTTCTCTTAATAGAAAGCTACACTCTATAGATACTAAAATTAGCCTAACAGATTAAAAAGTAAGAGAAAGAGAGAATAGCGTAACTCTTGAATTCTCTAAAGAATATAAAGAATATAAGTATCTATTTTAGAAAGTAGTAGATAAAATAGTATTACTAGAATATAAACTCTAGAACTACGAAATAGTTCTATAGGAAGGAAAGACACTAACTTTCGGGCTAATATATTAACTATTAAGACAAGAACTTAAGGTACTAAGAGAGTATATAGATAAGAGTCTAGCTAAAGAATATATACGACTATTAAAGTTACTTATAGGTTATCTAATTATATTCGTACTAAAAAAGGACGGAACAGATCGACTATATATTAATTACTAGCGACTTAACGACATTATAGTAAAAAATTAATATCTACTATCTAATATTATAGAGCTTAGAGATTAATTATTCTATATAAAGATCTTTATAGTACTAGATCTCTAAGATAGATACTATCTTATTAGAATAAAGTAAAGTAAAAAATAGAAAATAGTCTTTAGAACTTAATATAGATACTATAAGTATAAGGTTATACTATTTAGACTTATAAACGCCTTAGTAATATTCTAGAAACTTATTAATAACGTACTTAGGCTATACCTAGATATATTTATTATTACCTACCTAGATAATATCCTTATCTACTTAGAAAACGAGAAAGACTACATCCTATATATAAAAATAGTACTTAAGAAACTAGATAAATATAGCCTTAGACTTAAGCTAAAGAAGTGTAAATTCTATAAAAATAAGGTTAACTTCTTAGGCTATATAATAGAAGCTAACGGAGTATAAATAAGCGAAGAAAAAATCTAAGTTATTAAGAATTCGCTAATACTAACTACAGTTCGAAAATCTAGTTATTTCTAGAATTTATAAACTTTAATCGCTAATTTATTAAAGACTTCTTAAAAATTATAATACGAATAATATAACATATATAGAAAGATATACTATTTATATAAAGTAAGAAAGTAGAAGAAGCCTTTAATAAGCTTAAGACCACGTGTATTATACCACAATATTTTAAGATAATTACCTTAGGTGTACCTATGAAAATTAAAATAGACGTATCTAATCTTGTATTAGGAGACTGCGCTAGTATACTTATTAATACAATATAGCACCTAGTAGTATACTACTTAAGAAAGTTCTTAGGAGTAGAAGAAAGATATAACGTACACGATAAGAAACTTCTAGCTATTATAGAATGCTTATACTACTAGAGAGTATATATAGAAAGCTATTTAGAACTTATAGTCTATATAGATTATAAGAACCTAGTATACTTTATAATAATGAAGGTACTTAACTAAAGATAAATAAGATAGGCCGAACTACTAGGACAATATAAGTTTAAGATTATCTATACTCTAGGAAAGGAAAATAGAAGAGCTAATACTGTTAGAGATATAAGCTAATCAGCTAATCTCTGACATAATCCGGGTGCTCGGCACTATACTCGGATTCTTTAGTCAACCAATCCCTATACAATTCATCTATCTATTACGTCTATATCTACGTAATCTACTACTAGATAGATTCTTCTAGAATCTAGTACAGCAAATATATATAGTAGTAGAATAGCTAGTAGATAGAAACCAGAGCAGATAGCACAGAGCAGATTACAAGAATAGATCAGACTACTAGATTAGATCAATCCAATCCTTATCTCTCTCCCCTAGCATCATTTCTCTCTTTTCATCCTAGAACCTATCGATTCGCTACCTCTGAGTCTATCGCTAGACAAGTAGACTACTCTACCTCTGAGCTAGCTATAGAACAAGTAGCACCCTCCTTATTCCAACAAATACTCTTAGCTAACAGTACGACATTATAGGAACTAAAACAATAGTTAATAGACCTATACTTAAAACTAACGAAGACGGATCTCTAGGATCTATATATAAACTTAATATTATTATAAAGAATAGAAACGATGTACTTAAAGAAGTATAATAAACTATTATTAAAGAATATTATAACGATCCCGTGTATAGGCACCTAGGAATCGCTAGGACTATAGAACTAATTCAGCGTAACTACTAATTTAAAGGAATAAAGAATAGGATCGCATTCTATATCGCTAAATGCGTAGATTACTAAAAGAATAAATATAGTATATATATACTATATAGAGAGATATAAGCCCTAGAACTACTATAAGAATTATAAATGGATATTTCTATAGACTTCGTTATAGGATTACTAGCTTTAAGAGATCTAATAACTAAGATTATCTATAACGCGATACTTATCGTTGTTATGGGCGGAGAGGCCTAGCGAATGAGTATGCTTCTACCTATCGTACAGAAGCTAAAAGATAAGAAAAAGAGAAGATAACTAAGTACAGACTTCTCTTATACCTGCTCGCTTCTAATCACGTGTCCGTATAGAAGGTATATCACGTGGTCGAAGATCACGTAATCCTCTTCAGTAGAGATCACGGGCGCAGCCCTTTACAATACTCCCCTCCTCCACTCGTACGGACATATTTGCGTTTGTTTGTTTTCCTAGGAGCACGCGGCTGCCTAACTTGCGGTGGAGCAGCGGCGTTTGTTTGCTCTAGTGAAGGAGGATTTCCACGAGAGCAAACGCTCCCTCCGTACGATATGTAGAGCTGCCGTCTCTCTCCTTTAGCTTTTTCTTCCTTTGTGTTAAATCAATTTAACTCCACTACTACACAGATTTCTTCTTTTCTTTCTAACCACACTCGTACGATGCCGCCGAAAGCGCAACCACCCCCTCGCGGTGTTTAGGCCAACGCAAACACCAACAGTTTACAGTTTTACACTGACGGTGGCCCCAATAACACTATTAATAACGTAGCTAACCAAATCTTCGACGCTGCCCACCAGGCTCTAACTCGTACGACGCTAGGCGCTGTACTGCCAACTTTCAACATGCCAGGCGCTGTTAACCTAAACGAGTATCGTGTCTAGTTTATCTTCGATTAGCGCGTCGCAGATAAGCTGCGCCGTGTTTATATAGTTGCCCCTGTACGTAATACTTTTCTAACTTCTTATACGGCTAGTGTTAACTTGCGTAGGAGAACATTCGCCGTGTTTTTAACTACTTCTGTCGCCCTCGCGGCAACAGTCCGTACGATACTATCTTCAGTCCGGGCTCTCGCGACTACTCGCCTGTGATCGCACGTACGACTATCACTGCTCGGCAGATTCTCACTAGCTGTCTGTTCTACCTTAAGGCCTTTGTTATACATAGCCGCGGCGCTCTTAACACGGCTTTTTGTACGAACAATTGCGCCGCTATTCTGCGAGGCAAGAAGAAGTTTACCGCATTCGCTGGCTGCGTGTCCATCGCCGGTAAGTGGGGTGGAGCCTGCTCTAACTACGTCTGGCAAGACCATAGAGCTCGTTGCAGTGTCACTCAGCAGGCAGTCTCTCGTATAGAAGGTGGGCGCAAGAGGCTCCCTAACAGTCCTAGCAGTGGCAACCAGCGTGGTCGTCCGGCTGCGGGTAGTGCCGAGAACCCCCTGCTCGTGGAGTAGGTGGGCCTGCCTTCGCCAGTTTCTTCTGAGTCGTCCGTTAGGTTGTCGTCCAGGTTAGGTGTGGGACAACCATGACTGTAGGGCCGTAGTGTTAGCGAGATAGGCGGCGGGCTCCTATATAGGCTCGTCGTAGCCCACCCAATGAACAAGGTATTCTATTTGCCTGCGCCTTATTCTCTCGTCCGTAATATCTCGTACTGTCCACTCTAAGTGTTCCTCATTATTTTCGTTATCTTGTACGACTGTAGCAGTTGGGTTAGTGTCGTCCGTCTGCTGCGATGGGAATAGGTCGTTAGCCGCCGGACGGAGCTTATCTACATGGTAAGTCTTTATTTTCTATAGCACGGCTAATTCCACCCAGTAAGGGTCTCGTACGCGAGCAACCTGGAACTTAGCGCTTTTCCAATTAAGTTTCTTACTACTTCTAGCCGTACGTACATCGCGTAAGTCTAGCTATACCCAGTCTCCTACGCGGTAGGTAGGCGCTAGTCTGCGGGACTTGTTAGCTTATCGTTCTTGTTCTTATTAGGCGTAGGTCATAGCAGATATAGCCCAGTTAGCAGCATCACTAATCGTCTAGACAATCTCCTTTATAGCTTCTCCTACTTCGTCGGCTTACGTAACCGTTTAGGGCTGGGGGAAAGAAGTGTTATGGTAACCATAGTACAGGAAGAAAGGTGAAACTCCTATTATCGTATTCGTACGGGAGTTAAGTATAAGTTCTAAAAGAGGGCAGAGTTGTGCCTAGTTGTCTTAATCGTAGTTGCAGAAGATCCGTACGACTGCTTCTATATCGCTATTAGCGCGCTCTATTATTCCATCCATCTGTAGGTGATAGGCTGTTAAGAGATTTCTCTAGATACTAAGTAGCTAGCAGACCTGTTTCTAAAGAGAGCTGGCGAATTAGGGGCCGCGGTCGGACGTAATAGACTATAGAAGGCTGTGATGCCGGTAGACTTCCCGTACGAAGGCCCAAGCAACGTCTATTATCTCAATCTTGTCCATAGGGATTAGCACAATGCCTTTGCCTAGTCTGTCCTTCACTACCATAAGATTAGTTTTCCCTTAAGAGCTAGGTAAACCCGTGATAAAGTCGACTATTAGATGTTGCCACGTACAACTAGGAACGGGTAATAGTTTCAAGTACCCATATTTCCCGTCCCTCCAGGGGGTGCTTTTCCGGCATAGCTCGCAATTCCGTACGTAACGGCGTACATCAGTGCTCATATTTAGCTAATACCATTCTCTTACGATAATTCTGTATGTTTCCTCTCGTCCAGGGTGTCCTATTAGCAGAGACAGGTGCGCAGTTTAGATTACTTCTATCCGAAGTGGTTCACATTCAGGTACCCATACTCTATTACGCCAGCACAACTTATCTTCAGCGTTAATCATACAGTCGCCTAAAGAGATAGCAATCTTACAAGAGCTTAGGAGAGATCGTTTTCCTTCCCGTACAGCCGCTCTTATTTCTTAGTATAGAGAATCTTCTTGCACGGCACTATCCCAATAGGCTCGTACGAGCGTAGAAAAATATAGTAGTCGCGGTAGTGTAGTCAACACTAGAGGAGAAACGTCTTCTTAAGTGTCGGTAGTGTCTCGTACAGGCATAACCGCAATACTTTCCTAGGTCTAGGCTGGCACTAGCATAATAAATTCTCTTAATACTAAATGCTCGTCTAGGTCGTCCTTCTGCATATCTTAGTCTCACCTAAATAAGGCGTCCGCCCGTACGTTCTCCTTGCCAGGGCGGTAGCAGAGTTTCATATTTAGGAAGCGGGCTAGTTCCAAGTTCCATCGTACGTGGCGTTCGGAGAGCTTTTACTTATAGGTGAAGTATTCTAAGTTCTTATAGTCCGTAACTACTTCGAATTCTTGTACGCCTCGTAATTCAGCGTCCCACTCTTTCAGGCAGCAGATTACCGCTAGTAGCTCCTTGTCGTGGATTGGGTAGTTCGCTTCATACACTAGTAGCTTTCAGGAGAAGTAAGCTATCGTACGTAGGGTACCTTCGTCGTCTTCTTACAGAAGTACAGCACCTATTACTCGTCCAGATAAGTCACACTCTACTACTGTCCATCTGTCTAGGTCAAAGGCAGCTAACACTTCATCAGAGAGGAAAGCTTCCTTAAGAGCGGCAAAGCTCAGCTCTTAGTCTTGGCCCTATTCGAATTTAGCGTCTTTTCTTGTTAACCGTACGAGAGGTTCTACGAGTCTTAAAAAGTTAGGGATAAATCTACGATAGAAATTAGCGAACCTAAGAAACCCTCTCACGCCTCGTACGGTAGCTAGAGCTTCCTATTCTTAAATAGCTCTTGTCTTCTCAGTGTCTATTAAGACGCCCTTCCCTGCTTTAAGGATAAATCCTAAGTATTTCGTACGTTGGACGTTAAATTCGCACTTCTTAAGTTTAAGCTGTAGTCCCGCAGCTTACAGACGCTCGATTACTTGCCGTACGTAGTCGTGATGTTAGGATATTAAGCCATCCGTGTAGATTAGGATATCGTCTAAGTAGGCGGAAGCGAAATCGTCTAGAAACTCGCGCAGTATCCAGTTAATATAACGTTAGAATGTGCTAGGGGCGTTAGTAAGCCCAAAAGAAGTAACTAGCTACTCGTACGACCCAAACCAGGTGCGGAAGGCAGTTATCCATTCCTAGCCCTCCGTGATCCAGATTTTGTGGAAGGCGGCCGTGACATTAAGCTTTATATACCACTTTACTCGTCCGACTTAATTTAGCGTCTTACGTATAAGGGGCAGAGGATAACGGTCCTTACAAGTCAGTGTATTTAGGGCGCGGTAGTCTACGCAGTATCTCAGTCCTCCCCCAGGTTTCCGTACGAAGAGGACTAGTAACGCGGCGGGAGAGTTGCTTGCGCGGATAAACCCTTTCTCAAGTAACTTATACAGTGTCTTGCGTAGTACTAGAAGTTCATCTCTAGACATATTATAGAGAGGTCCGTACGGGACTTCTGGCAGCTTCCCATCGTCTTTAGAGATCAGTTCGATCTTATAGTCAACGTCTGGACCTCGTAGGGGCGGGAGCTCGTCTCCTTCCTTTGGGGTAAATAGAGAGGCGTACTATCGCAAGTATGAAGGAAGCGACTTAGTTACTTCTGCTATAGTTAGCTGCGTCTTCGGACGGAGAGCTTTCTCGATGTCTTAGAGACTAGCAGCGAAGACTTGCAGAGCTAGCTATTTTCGGCTTCGTCGTACGTGGGCCTAAAAGGCGGCTGCTAAGATTGCAGCGAAGTTCTATAGTAGTTTAGTTCTCTCTATACTAGGTATAGAGAGATCGTAACGTGAAAGAAGAAGTGTTCGTCCGGCCGCATTAATAACACCTCCTACATCTTCAAGCCAGGTCTTCCCTAAAATAATGTCGTACTCGTACGTGGACGTGGTAATAAAAGCGGCTGCTTTTTGCTTAATTCCTCTAACATCTACAGTAAATTAAGTAATAGCTCGTACAGTGCTTTTCTAGTTATTAATACCTTTAATTTCCCTAGTAGGGATAGATACGCGCGGCAGGTTAAGTTCTTATATGAGTCTTTCACATACTATCGCATAAGTGCAGCACCTATTATTAATTATAGCAGTAGCGTTTTTTAAAAGATTAACGATTACGTCTATAGATATTAGCTAAGTAGGCTTTAGTTGGTGAAGTAGCTCTTGGACAGGTCGTACAACCTGCTTAACCTGCTTTAGCTGCCCTAGTCGGCGTTTTTAGACTAGGGCTCCTCTTTTCTCTCGTCCGAGCTTTCGTCTTCTAAGGTAGCAGCTAGGACTTTTATTACGGTCTCTAGCTTGCGCGTGCGTTTTGGGACTGCTGCTTTACACTACCGTACGAGGTGGCCGTAGATGCCACAACGTAGGTAGCTGCCCTCCTCCTTGCGTTAAGCAATTTAGCTTTGTGTACCCTAGTACTCGTTCCTCGTACGGGGACGCATGGCGCCTATATTAGGCGTCTAGTCCATTTCGTCCACGGCAGCTGGGGTAGACGTAGGAAGAGAGGTCGAGTAAGAGGGCGCGTTAGACGAGAGTTAGTCAATTACCTTGAGATTCTCCCAAGTGTTCCTAAGTCGATGAACAAAGGCGTCGTACGTCTCGTTTGAAGAAGGCTAGTACCCAGCTTGGTAGCGTAGTAGCTTCCTATTGAGAGAATTCTTGAGATAGTTAATTTTCAGCGCGTCGTTATCTTGTCCGAAACCAGCTTCGTTGAACTTTAGATTAAAAGCTCGTACGTGGAAAAGAAACTCGCCTTTTCCTTGCTTAGTTGTACGGAGATACTGTAGAGCTTTTTGCTTAATTGAAGGGTCTTCGAAGAACGCGTCTAGTTGCTCCTAAAGCTTACTTAAGCTAGGTAATAGATTTCTGCTTATAAAGTCTTGTACGTAAGCCTGTAATGCTAAAAAGGCTAATCCTCCTGTACGGGAGATTACATAGTAAGCTTGGTAGAACTCCGTAGGGTAAGCTAAGTGATCCGCCGATAGTTTTGTACGGATCTGCATCTTCTACTGCGTGTATTCTTCGTGTGAGCCTTTCTTGAAGATTCTAATATTAGGGAGTCTAGCTTTTCTAAACTCTTATATGGGCGTAGGCGTAGCTAGAGGCTAGCTAGAAGGTTGCTGACTTTCTATACTCGGCGTGAGATTAGGAGTCTGTACGTTAGGGGTAGCTTGCCCCTGTGCCGTACGGAGGAAAAGGGCTTTTATCTCTTAGAGTTCTTCTCGTACGCCTTCAGCGTTCTTAAGTCTTATAGCTATTTGGTCTAGGTTTCGTCGGAGTAGATTATTCGTTGCATTAAGTTAGCTCCAGCTTTCTACGAGCTCCTCGTACGTCGGAGGCCTTAGCGGGGCGTTACTAGGTTCTAGGTTTGGCATAGGCTCATATAGCCCCATCGTTATATCTTATTTATTTTATATTCTTAATTCTCTCTCGCTCCGTACGAGAGAAAAGAGTAAGAAGGGTTAAAGTGATCTTTTAGCTT